AAAAAAGGAAAAAACAAAGAATTAACTTGTGCCCATCATGGTGACAAGTTTGCCTCTTTTGTTGTTGATCTTAACCATAGAGATATTAAGGCACCAGAAGCAAATTTGGAAAATTTTCCCAATTAGTTCCCTTACTACCAATTAAAGAACAACAGAATTACTAGAAAATGAATCCAGACAAAAATAACTATACACTACATATCAATCCAAAAAATCTGTTACAATATCCCAAAGCAGCTAAAGGGGTTATCTGCTAAGTTCTGAAATCAAAAAGTAACACAACAAAATCGAGGAAAAAACAAAAAGAACATCAGAAAAAAACTCAAAAAGAAAGCTGCAGCAACAGAGAAAAGTGCTTACCATAGTGAGTACGAGGCCGTTTAAGCATCCCAGAAGCAGAGACCAAAGAAGGAGGCGGCTGTTGCCGATTCCAGTAACCATCCGCCATGCTGTTAATTGGTTCACAGAAAGAGAAATTACAAGGGAATTGTAAGAAATTAAGAGGTTCAAACTGAGAGTGTAACCGCAGCGAAAAGATTTAAGCTGAGGAATCAGCAAAACCCTAATCTGGGTTTTTTCTGCCCTTTTTCTCTGTTTGTTTATTCTTTCCTGTTTGCTTGCTTTACAGCGAAGGAACACAATACAACACAGGACTCTCCGACGCTGGCTGAGTTTGAGAGGCGAGTCTAGACTTTGGACTCCACTCGCACGAGTCAAACTCGGGTGAAGCCTCATGTTACTATTTATGGCAGTCAATCATGTGATGCCACGTTCATACCTCTTTGAGCCGAAGTTGAAGTGAGATTTGTGAGAGGTAGAAATGAGGACACGTGTGGTTCAGTTTTTAAATGTTTTAGTTTTTTTTTATATATTATTTATATTTTATAAATTTAAATTTTTTAAAAAATTTATATTTTTAAACTTTTTTTTAATCTTAAAAATACCTCAAACAGTAAAAACTCAAAAGTTTCAAATCCAAACTTTTCATAAACTCCATTTTTACTCACTTTTCATTCACTTTTTTCCTATTTCTAAAAACAACTTTTAAATTTTTCATCCAATAAAAATTTAAACTTATCATTTATAATAGTATTCAAAAAGCAAAAGGTCTCACTAGTTAAACCAAACATGTACCATTTCCACTATTCCTAGCTAAGCATTGTCATCTCTAGTTTGTATGTATGTAGCCAAGAAAAAATAATTAATACATCTGATTAGGTGAACAGAATCCCATTATTATTTTTCACGC